AGACTCGGCTGTCTTCCAATGCCATGGTAGGTGTCATTTGCAAGACAAATGGATTCATTACTGAAATCTCATTATTAATCTGTCATGGGAAAGGTGACAACCCTGTCAGTCCCTTAAATTGGAATGAGGGGCTGTCAGTCCCAGCGAGCTTAGAATTTTGAAACCTGCCAGTCATGTTTTTCAATTACATGAAAAACAAAATTTCATTCTTACTCTTTTACTGAGGACAAGGTAATAGAGATCAGGGTTCTGTGACATGTTTAAATTTGACTATGAAGTGTGGCTCCTCCAATGTACTGCATGTCATTATATACCTATATAAATATCCTTTCATTTGATTTCATATCATATAAAAACGTTTATCACGGAAACCCACTTAAAAATGCCTCCCTGCTTATCAGCCCATCTTGCAGTGGCTCCTGCACTCAAATTAAGAATGAGACTGAATGGTCAAGTGTCTTTTCAGTCTCCTACTTAGATTATCATCTGTCGAGACAGTCCACTGAAACTTTCCCTCAAGCATAAAGAAGACTGCAAAGGTCCTAGTAAGATCTCAGCTTTCATTAATGGGAATTGTAGGCCACTGTGAAAGACATCGGGGGTGTGTGTGTGTGTGTGCGTGCACGCGCACGCTAAGTCACTTCAGTCATGCTGACTCTGAGTGGCCCTATGGGCTGTCACCTACCAGGGTCCTCTGTCCATGAGATTCTCCAGGCAAGAGTCCTGGAGTGGGTTGCTGTGCCCTCCTCCAGGGGATCTTCGTAACCCAGGGATCAAACATGTATCTCTTTTGTCTACCTGAATTGGCAGGCAGGTTCTTTACCACTGGGGCTACCTGGGAAGCCCATATGCATATAATAGACACCCCAATTACTCAACTAGAGTTAGAAAAACTAAGTACTTTTATTTTCTTATCCATAGATTGAAAATGATTATAGAGGTTTTTCAAGCAGTTAATGGATTCTGTAGGTTCAGCGAACCTTCTATCTCGGATTCTCCTAGGGCTTTCCATCTCTGATATGGGCGCTTTTAACATCATGTAGTTTTTCATTAAGAGGGGGTGGAAGTGCGTCATATATGTTCTCAAATGCAGCAGATCTGTTAAGGTCACAGGAGAGTTGATTCAAGTGGTGAAGCATGGCACAACATTTGAGGGGTCGAAACTACCAGGGAAACCAACTAACCCTGACCAAACCACAGCTGGGTCAAAGGTTTTATTATTGATAACATAGAATGTAACTTGCAATGTTTAAGACATGCCCATGTTGAAGGACAGTCTTCCACCCTGCAAGTGTTACCTATGGTCCCTGATGACTTCAGAAGATGTGGTCAGGCTCTGAGGAGTTCCCAGTCACCATGCAGACTTCCTTGACAACACCTCCTCCTTATTAAAAGAATACCCGCTTCTCCACTGGCCGTGGAACCAGAGTTTGGAGGAAATAATGTTTATCCTATTTGGATTGTGGTTTTACTTTGCTTACTGACACTTAGGCTAAGTCTTGGCAATTGCACATGAGAGGAAAAATTGAAAATCTGAGTAAATGCTTGAAGTATAGTGAACCAGAATACCTTAAAAAATGATTGTAATCCTAAGTTGGGTTAAAATCTCCATGACCTGTACTGTTGATTAAATTAGGATTCTGATGGCAGTGTGTACTGAACACATGTTTTGGTTTGTTTTACTTTTCATACAATGTAATGCTGCCTACCTATTGATGTATTTATTTTTTTCCCAGGCTTGACTCTTAAAAATAATCTTTAGGTGATAAATTTTAGAGATGATATATGCAAATTGAAACATGTGCCACTTTTTCCATCTTTTTGATTTAAAATAAGATATTATAGTATGGCATAATATAAGAAAAGTCCAAACATAAAGCACAGATGGACACATAAAATGGCAAGTCATTTTCTTTTGCCTGAAGTGGCTTAAAAAATTGAGATTACTGAAATTTTATAGTTGAAAAAAATGTTGCTGAATGTATAAATAAAGCAGTAGTTTTGAATAGAAACAGGAAGTTACCTAGGCACATTCATCAGCCACATGGTAGCTACCTTTTAGCCTCATTGTTGATTGTGGAAATGAGACTTTCTTAGTATCACATTACATTTTGATTGATTTTTTTTTTTTTTACAGAAGACAAAGTATGTTGATTTCATATTCAAATGAATTATGCCCAGGATAATTCTTGTTTATACACAGAGTTCAGAGACTGAAAAAGAGAAGCAGAAAGCACAGCTCCTATACAGGTTTGCTCATCCCCCTGTGACTTGGGGGCCCATTTCTCAAAGAGAAAATGCCATCCTTAAAATACACGAGAGGCTGAAGAATGGAACAAAACGAAACCTAAGTTTAGTATTCTCTCTAAAGCATGGGAAACCATAGGGATGGCTATGACCAGTTGGAATTTTTTTGTAGCACATGCTACACTGCCTTGGCTATATGTTTGCCTCTAATTGGACCACAAAGATATGAAATCACTCTCTAGATAAGAGCTTTCAATTCATGGGATTTTCAAATAAGAGAATTAGGTATATTTTAACACTAGACCTTTGTTTATAGATCAAACCTAGTAGAATGCTGATGAATTTTATGAGTAAAACTCATTATTCATGTTGACCTAATGGGAATATGATTTACCTTTTAATATATTCATTTAAAAATGCCTACCCTGTTTTCTTTTACAGTGCCTCTTCCTTCTGGACTAAGACAGGTTCCTGTGACTTTGTGAAAGGAGTTTCAACTATTGATTCTAATAAGCCATTAGAAAGCCATTCTAGTGCATGGTTCAATTAACAAGAGTTCCACTGTCCTTCATTTCAGGTAAAACTGTACAGGTTGAACATAGACTTTATGAGTCAAATATGCAGAGGTGTTTGGTAAGTCAATTTAATTCATTTTAGACAAAGTTTTACATCAATCTCATTGTAATATATATCTCCTTTGGCTTTAAAAATCGATCAAATCTAATTATTTGGGTTCTTATTCATATAAATCATACTATTTCTTGATTGTCAACTAGCATTAAAAGCTTACCTGAATTCCACTAATAGAATCCTCAATCTTATTGGTCCTATTTGCCTCAGAGAGTTAAACTGAAATTAAAAAGTTGTCTTGTCTTTCTTCTGACAATACCAGGATATGAAAATACAATGAAATGAGGCAAAAAAAAAAAAAAAAAGATATCCCCTCCCCAACTGCAGAGTCAAGGTGGCTATTCATGGTAGATGATGACAAAGACTGAGGCAAGAAGACAAAATCTAGAGGTGCAGGGATTTAGAAGGAAGGCTATTGTTACAAATATGGTGCAAGGCCTTTTCAGGAGACCACTCACCACTCAACAGAGCATCACTGAGCTTTTTCAACAAGTGATCTTTCAGACCAGTTCAGGAAGTATCTTGAGTCCAAAATTCACATAATGAAATTTCAACCTGTTAAACAAGTGTGTTAGCTCATTGGTGGCCATCGATACAGACTTCATGATTCAAGAGCACTAGGAAAGAACCAGAAAAGCACATGGAATTTAAAGCCATTTGGCTCTATTGGTTGGAATCCAGAACTCTTGGCGCTACTATTGCTGACCACAGGAACAAGCTTCTACTATCCACAAATACACATTTAAAATAAAAACAATTTTTTTTTTTGCAGTATGTAAAACACCAGTGGAAGGTAGTTTAAACAAACAAAGTAAGAACTGGTCCGGCCATGTAGGTCAAATAAAATTTTAAAAAAGAAAAGAGAAGAAAAGAAAAGCAATCTCTATCTTCTGGACTGCAACAGGGTGCCACTTCATCTTTGGTATAAAACAGGCCATCCATAGGCTGAATTTGATCACAACTAGGAAAGACTACAGAAATTGTCAACAATTTCTCTATCTATTGCTTTTTTTGTTGTTTTTTTTTGTGGTTTTTTTCTTTTTTGCACTTTTTGACAATAAGCTCCTATCTACTTAAGTTTTTTTTTTTTAATGCTCTTAAGCTAGATTTTGCAATGTGACAAGCAAAGCTGACTAAAAAGTTTGTAAAGCTCATAAAAAAGACTGCAGATAAAAAGCACTAATGATTTTGCTAGCGATCACGCTTTGGAAATTAAAAAAATCTGCATTCTGCCCCCCAAACACGCATTATTTCTAATGCAGTTGTTTTTAAACCAACATTAATAACTTTACCTTAAAATGTTTTAGCCTTCTAGAACGATTCAACACTTAAGACAAAGTTCATGAGAAGTCCCAGCATTTCCCCAATTCTTGCAGTTGCCATGGTTTCTTTTATCAGCAAATTTTCTTCAAATGAAGAAAAACATTTTCTTTAAAACTGTACAGTTTTTTTTTCCACCCTAAAAACTCATAGTCTTAAACTTCTGTACCAGTGAAAACCGGTACAATATTTCAATTCTTTCTTGGTTTTAACAAGACGTTGACAGCTTGCCTCGAGAGCCTTTGACGTCCTTAAAATTAAGGCAATTAAGATTCAAGATAAACCTTACCTAAATATTTCTAAGAAAAAAATAAAATTAAAAAAAAACCCAACCCACTAGATTTAAACAAGAAGGGAAAAAGAAAGAGTAGCTTAATTACTGAGGAAGACAATTTGTTTCCATTTCTGCTTGCCCACCTCTTGACATCAGATTTCCTGTTTAAAAAAAAAAAAAATCAATCTATCTACACCTTCAGATAAATTCTGAATTCAGTTGTTCTTCCACATGAATGTCAACCTTCCATGTTTTGCTTTATTTGTTTGTAGTAGTTGTCCTCTTCTGGGATTGTTTTCTTTAATTAAAAAAATGATGCAAAAATAAACTGTCAGACCACATGAAGGAACCATTTGCACAGCACGTAAAAACACGTTGTTTTCATTGGGTAAAGTAGAAAATTAAAAAAACAAACAAACAAACAAAACAGCATTCCACCGACGCCTGTGCAAAACTGGAAGCCAACTTCTTGTTTAATGAAGTTTCTTCATTCAAGGCAGAGTTTCAGACGGACATTCTTCAGTCTTGTTTATGGTCTGTGAAAACAATGGAGGGGAGTGGTCATTACACCAAAGCAACTCTGAAATCCCCTTCTGTGACCTTTTCCGGTGAGCGTTCTTTAAAAGCTACCAAGCTCTCTCAATGCAATAGTCATCAAGGAAGTTGTCAGGACACACTGGGCTTAGATGCATGTCAAATTCTGCCCCTTTCATACTAATATATGTTTGCAGCTTGTTCATATTAAATATCTTGGCTAATAGATCAAGAATATCTCTTAACTGCAAAGTTTTAAATATACAAATATATCTAGACAGGGGATATTTCCTATGTTCATGGAATGTATTCTTCAATATGTGGCTTATGTTTTAGCTCCCCAAGGAATCCCTTGAGTAATTCTGTCCTTCCAGAACTCTCATGAGATCCATCACAAACTCAGGCAATATATCTGTGACTCCCTGTTATATATCCAGGATACAGAATTTTTTTTTTTGAAGTGTAGTTGATTTACAATGTAGTGTTAATTTCTGCTGTCCAGCAAAGTGATTCAGTTATATATGAATGTATACATTTTAAAATATTCTTTCACATTATGGTTTATCATAGGATACTGATTACAGCTCCCTGTGCTATCCAGTAGAAACTTGTCATGAATCCAGTCCCATAAATAAGAGCTTACATCAGCAGCAGCGTATTGTGTGTTATCAAACAGAGCTCACCAAGTGTATCCACATGAGCCGAAGGCTTATTACTGAAGACAGGTAAGAGAGCAGTGAAGCTTTTTTTCACGCTCCAGTTTCTTCTCTTCTTCCTCGCTCCTCTATCTCAGCAAGGTGTTGAAATCTTGAGATTTTACTATATTTTACTTCTGTGTTTCACTCTGCAGGAGGCTGGGAGACTGATATGCACATCATAGGTGTTTAAATAGACAAATGCCATTTCTGCTACATGCCACTTTGCCAGCCCAGCCCACATCATGCTTTCTGCTTCTGCCCCATCTATATGGCAGGGCTGAGCTAACAGTGGGTTGATCTTTACTCTTATCTCTTCCATCCACAAGTGAGAATTTGGTTCAAGAATTTCAGGGGTATCTTTTACAAATAAAGATTCTTCAGAACTTTCTTTAGGTCCTGTTTCATGAAAGCGCCTTCCCTCGGTGCTCTGTGGGTTCTTCTGATGCCCAGTTGCTTGCTTTGATGAAGAAAGCTCAGAGTGGCTGCATAGAGGGGTCCAGGTGTTTTGCCACACAGGATGCACGGATGCAGGAGAACCTCGGGACTAATTCCAGCCCACAGTCTGTTCTCCAAGCTGTGTACTCCGGAGCAGGGCTGCATTTGCCCTGAGCATGTGGCCCTTACTCAAATTCACAAAAAGCCCTCAATGGTGCTTTGAACTAGATGAGACTTAGCCTGGGATGACCCAGAGGGCTTCTTTTTCTAGTCTGCCAAAAGCCCTCATGTGACTCAGCTGTGGCTCTTAGAAACCTGCCTAACTTGTTTCTAGAATCATATAAGGAAAGCAGCTTGTTGATAGATTATTTCCACTGTTAAGCAGAGTTTAAGTCTCTAGAAATACATTTATTTTTCTGTGTTATGAAAGAAAATGGCATTTCTTTTTAGAATGAAAGCCATCAAAATTGTCATAATAGCAGCAACAATAAGGGAAATTTCCGTCGTCATCCTGGGAACCATGGGAACCATGGAGTATATTTGATCTCTCTATATATACCTTTGCAAAGTATATCCTCATTCCATTTATTTCTACAACTCTGTCTTGTTATGGGAACCACATTTGGTGTGTGTTTTTGTGTTTGCTTTTAGGTCTATTCTTTGTTCCCATTTCCATCTTCCGCCCTGGTATTACTGTGCATTGAGTAGAAAATGCCTAATACGGCAAGAATCTGCATCAGACCTGTTCAGTGAATGCTTTCAGTCAATGGGCTGCATGACGCAGAACCCCTCATAGCGCGGGTGTGTCTGGTGGGCTGGTCTCCAAGTGTCCGTGTGTATGAGTGAGGCTGCAGCTTCCTTCCTTCTTTGTTATTGGAGGATAATGGCTTTACAATGTATGGTAATTTCTGCTCTACAAAAAAGTAAGTCAGCTGTGTGTGTACGTACACCCCCTCCCTCCGGGCCTCCCTCCCACCACTTCCCTCCCAGCCTGGGGTCATCACAGAGCCCTGAGCTGAGCTCCCCGCGCTATGCAGCAGCTTCCCACGAGCTGTTTCTCTTACACATTGTAGTGTGTATCTATCAGCGCTACTCTCTCAATTCACCTTCCCCTCTCCTTCCTTTCCCCACTGTGTCCGCAAATCCATTATCTTCATCTTCATCTCTATTTCTGCCCCACAAATAGGTTCATCAGTACCGTTTTTCTCGATTCCATGCATGCATGCTAAATCACTTCAGTTGTGTCTGACTCTGTGTGACCCTACAGACTGTAGTCTGCCAGGGTTATCCTCTGTCCATGGGATTCTTCAGGCAAGAAAACTGAACTGGGCTACCAAGCCCTCCTCCAGGGGATCTTCCTGACCCAGTGATCACACTGGCACCTCCTGCGTTGGAGCCAGATGCTTACTGCTGAGTCACAGGGGAAGCACCTCTAGATCCCACATATACACTTTCAGTCCCGTCCCTCAGGTGTGTCCGGCTCTGCGACCCCATGGACCGCAGCACGCCAGGCTTCTCTGTCCATCACCAACTCCCGGAGCTTGCTTAAACTCATGTCCATTGAGTTGGTGATGCCATCCAACCATCTCATCCTCTGTCGTCCCCTTCTCCTGCCTTCAATCTTTCCCAGCATCAGGGTCTTTTCCAGTGAGTCAGTTCTTCACATCAGGTGGCCAAAGTATTGGAGCTTCAGCTTCAGCATCAGTCCTTCTAATGAATATTCAGGACTGATCTCCTTTAGGATGGACTGGTTTGATCTCCTTGCAGTCCAAGGGACTCTCAAGAGTCTTGTACATATACACGTTAATATATGATATTCTTTTCTTCCTGACTTACTTCACTCTGTATGACAGACTCTAGGTTCATTCACGTCAATAAAACTGACTCAATTTTCTTCCTCTTTATGGCTGATTAATATTCTATTGTATATATGTATCATTAATCCTCTTTATCTATTCATGGACATCTAGGTTGCTTCTGAGTCTTGGCTATTATAAATAGTGCTGCAATGAATATTGGGGGTACCTGTATCTTTTTGAGTTGTGGTTTTCTCTGGGTATATGCCCAGGAGTGGGATTGTTGGGTCATATTGGAGCTACTTTCAAGTTTTATAACCTTACACAAATGCTTCCAATAGCCTCCTCCCATCACTTGCTTCATCCTTCAAGTGGTCTTGTTGCTACATGAAAACAAATGAGAGGAAATAAATGGTTGTACTTTACATCTTCATGGTGGCTTGCTGAAGTCTGAATGGAAGACTATTTAATAGTCTATTGCTATTTAATAGAACTAAATTCACTCCTGGGCTTCCCTGGTAGCTCAGCTGGTAAAGAATCGGCCTGTGATGTGGAGAGGGTGGTCAAAAGTGGTGCTGAGAGAAACACTGCTCTAACCTTAGTGCTGTGCTTGTTTAATTGTAGCTGTCTTCAAAGCTATTAATATACTAATGGACATGACCCCCTACAGGGCCAGATGGATACTTACTTCCTGAAAGACTGCAGTATGTTCTGGTCTCCTTTGGAATGCTTTAAAAAATTATTAAAAAACTGTAAGAGAATTTTTTGGTCAGTATAATTATTTTGATACTAATGTAAAAGATCACATGTTTTCAAAAACATTTTTTTTCCTATTGATGCCTTTCTTTGTTGATAACCTAACTGCATGTTTAGTTTACTAAGGGCAATCAGGTAGTGGGAGAATAGTGTAGATCACAGAATTCGTCTTTTCACATGAAAATCTGTGAAGTTAATCTGTCAGGAATGACGTTGGTGAATATGGCATGATTAGATCATTTTAAGGCTTTTTCTAGCCTAAAAGTCTACAATTCTAAGATGATGATTTACTACTTTTTACTACTTTTTAATGTATTCACTCTGCTTTTTGGGGGGAGGCGGGGGTGGGGAGGATGGAAAATGAGAGCATTCAGACTGACTCTGTGATCTTAAAATGTCGTCAGTCTCCCTACCTTCACACTGACCTTAGAAAGCTTCTATCTCAACCCTAGTGTTGCTAGGGCTTTGTAATTTTTCCAGTCTTCTCTAAAAGAACTGTCATAATACCAATTGTCTATACATGGTCAGTACAGTAATCAGCAAATTATATGCCCTTGATTACTATCCACACATGTCTGTTAAGATTGTGACTAATGATAGATTTTATTTGTATTTTCATAATGCTCTCAGTCACACATATTCCTCTTTTTACGGTGCAACTCATTTTAATTTTTAAATAGTCTCACCATCCAACTTAAAATGTTCTTCTTGCTCCTGATCAAAGCCTTAACATTTTGGAGGCCTTCTGTTTTTTTATGAATGCCAGTGCGTGACACAAGCGTTATGTACACGTGCACTTTCACACTTCATTAGGACAGGAAGGGTAGACAGGAGTGAATCTGTGCTGTGCCTAGGAGCTCAGTCGTGTCCGATTCTTTGCAACCCTATGGACTGGAGCCTGCCAGGCTCCTCTGTCCATGGGATTCTCCAGGCATGAATACTGGAATCAGTGGGCATTCCCTTCTCCAGGGGATCTTCCTGACCCAGGGATCGAACCCACATCTCTTAATGTCTTCTGCATTGTTAGGCGGGTTCTTTACAGTCTGAGTTATCAGAAGCCCACACCCCAAATTCAGGGAAGGGGGGTCAGTCTTCCCTCAGCTATGTAGACCTGCCTTATATTTTCTGGAGAACACTGATGTAATCTCTCACTTTAAAGATTTAAGGGAGGCCCCTTGAGAAAAAATTGGTAAATGGAAAAGATGGAATTTTAAGGACTTCTGATTTTGTATATTAGAATATAGCTTTGCTTGCAGACTCATACTTTTCAAGTCCTAGTTTTTTAAAAAAATTTTCTAAGTACACAAAGAAAAACTG